GAATACAACTAAAATACACAACAACCATCAGAAAGAACTCCTGGAAAGCTGGCTGAATGGAAGTCTTAGGACAGTGGTTCTCAACCTTGGCTGCATATTAGAATCACCTGAGAATCTTTTTAAAATCCTGATTTCTGGGCCTCATCATCAGTAACAAAGAAACAGAATTTCCAGGGAAACCAAGATGGTGGCATAGGTTAACAAAAATGAAAGACAAAAATCATTTGAGCATATCAATTGATGCAGAAAAAGCATTTGACATAATCTGACACCCTTTCTTGAAAAAACTCTCAACAAAGTGGGAGGCCAAGGATCACACACATAATGACAGCCTTATATGACAAACCCACAGCCAACATCATATTCAATCAGCAAAAACTACAACCATTTTCCCTTAGACAGGAACAAGACAGGGATGACCACTTTGACCGCTCCTGTTTGATATAAAACTGGAAGTGCTAGCCATAACAATCAGAGAGGAAGCAGAAATTAAATGCATCATAATTGGAATATAAGAAAACTGTCATTATTCAATGATGACATGATATTGTACATAGAAAACCCTAAAGACTCCATCAAAAAACTACTAAATTTAATAAATGCATTCAGAAATGTAGGATACAAAAAAATTAATAACCAGAAATCTATGGCTTTTTTATACACCAATAACGAACGCACAGAAAAACAAACAAACAAACAAACAAACAAAAAATCCTATCTACCATTGCAACAAAAAATTAGGATACGTAGGAATAAACTAACGAGGTAAAAGACCTGTACTCTGAAAACTACAGGAAGTTGAAAAAAAGAGATGGAAGAAGATATAAACAAATGGAAACATATACCGTGTTCATAGATTGGTAGAATCAACATCATTAAAATGTCCATAATACCCAAAGCAAACTTCAGATTCAATGCAATCCCCATTAAGATACCAACCACATATTTCACAGACCTATAATAAGCTCTTCAAAAATAAATATGAAATAATAATAGGAACAATAAAAAATAGCCACAAAAAAAAATATCCCCAGCAATCTTGAGAAAGAACAAAGTTGGAGGAATGACAATACCAGATACCAAGGTATATTGCAAAAATGCCTGGTACTGGCACAACAACAGACATATAGAACAATGCAACAGAACAGAGAATCCCGAAATTGACCCAAGCCTTTATGCTCAATATCTGTCAAAGGAGGCAACAGCATACAATGAAGTCAAGATAGTCTCTTCTTCAATTAGTGGTGTTGGGAAAATTGGATACATGCAAAAAAATGAAACTAGACCACCAACTTATATCATACACAAAATAAACTAAATATAGATAAAGTCCGCAAACGTAAGATGGGAAACCATAAAAATCTTAGAAGAATCCACAGGCAGCAAAATATCAGACATATATCCTAGCAATGTCTTTACGGATAGCATAATGTTTCCATTTCCTAGAGTAATGGAAACTAAGGAAAAAATGAACAAATAGAACTACGTCAAGATAAAAAGCTTCTGCACAGCAAAAGAAGCCATCAACAAAACAACAAGAAAGCCCACTGAATTGGAGAACATATTTGCCAATGTTATATCCGATAAGGGTTTACTCTCCAACATTTACAGGGAACTTAAACACCTTAAGAAAAAGAAGATAAACGATCCAATCCAAAAACGGGCAAAGGACTTAAATACACACTTTTCGAAAGTGGTCATTCAGAAAGCCAAGAGACATATAAAAACATGCTCAAAGCCACTTATCTGAGAGACGCAAATCAAAACGACAATGAGATATCATCTCACACCTGTCAGGATGCCTATCATCAACTAATCTACAAAGGATAAGGTGCTGGCAAGGATGTGGAGAAAAGGAACCCTTGTGCTCAGCTGGTGGGAATGCATATTCGTACAGACACTGTAGAATATAATGTAGAGTTTCCAAAAAATTAAAAATGGAACTCCCAATTGACCCATCTAGGAAAATATCCCAAGAAATAAAAAACAGCCCTACATGGTTTGGCTCAGTGGAGAGAGCGTCGACCTGCAGGTTGAAGGGTGCCAGGTTCGATGCTGCCCAAGGCAACATGCCACGCTGTGGCTCGATTCCCAGTAGGGTGCATGCAGAACGCAGAGATCAATGACTCTCTTATCATTGATGTTACTATCACTTTCTCCCTCTCCTTTCCTCTCTCTGGAATCAATAATGAAATATTTAAAAAAAAAAAACAGAGAGAGAAATCAGAAACACCAATCAGAAAGGACATATGCACCCCTATGTTCATAGCAACACAATTTACAATAGCTAAGATTATGAAATAGCCTAAGTGCCCATCAGTAGATGAGTGGATTAAAAAACTGTGGTACATCTACACAATGGAATACTAGGCTGCTGTCAAAATGGAGAAACTCTTACAATTTGCAACAGCATGGATGGAACTGGAGAGCAATCATGCTAAGCAAAATACGCCAGGTGGAGAAAGATAAATATCACATGATCTCCCTCATTTGTGGTCAATGAGGGAAAATCGCGACATATGTAGTACCATATATATTACTTTAATCAATAAAGAATTTTTAAAAAAGAAATATTGTGAAAATATCCATACTACACAATGCAATCTACAGATTAAATGGAACCCTGAGGATAATTCTTATGGTATTTTACAAAGACATGAAAAGAGAACCTTGAAATGTATAGAAGTAAAAAATGTGAATAGCAAAAACAATCGTGAGTGAGAAGCAAGCTGGTGGCATCACACTTCCTGACTTCAATTTCTTACAAAGACAAAGCAAGCAAACATTGTGTTGCTCAAGAAACACAGACACATATATCAACAGAACAGAACACAAAACACAGAAATAAAGCCAGAAACAAACTTTCAAGTAATCTTTATCAAAACTGCAACACAGCCGAAACCGGTTTGGCTCAGTGGATAGAGCGTCGGCCTGGGAACTCAAAGGTCCCAGCTTTGATTCCGGTCAAGGGCATGTACCTGGGTTGCAGGCACATCCCCAGTAGGAGATGTGCAGGAGGCGGCTGATCAATGTTTCTCTCTCATCGATGTTTCTAACTCTCTATCTCTCTCCCTTCCTCTCTGTAAAAAAATC